CACAGATTAAGGAAATACGGTGCATCTTTTCCAGATGTATCTGTTTATATCAGTGCATGTGGAGTGCTTCAAGCACTGTTTCTTTCTGAAATCCCATTGTTCATTAAGATCATTTCTAATGAAAGATTTTTTCCACAAGTGCTAGTCTTATTTGTTAACAACTTGTTAATAAGGATAATATAGTCAGGCATTACAGGGGATATAAAATCTTGTTAAAAATCTAACTAACAAAAATAAGGACTATAATTGCCTTCTCACATTGGTGATTAAGCTCTGGTCATGCCACTGCATATGAATGAATACAGATATAAAAGACCTCTTCAGAGGTAAACTTTTACGTTTAGACTATGGCTGTCAGTATCTTAGATTTGGTCAAAATTATTTCTGCTATTCAAATTTCTGATAGCTTTTTCTGCAGTGCAGTTGTTTGTACACGTTATTGTTTCAAGATACAGACCCTGTTGCCAAGCTATATACACTGATGAGTTACAAAGCTGGTGGATTATGATCTAACCCTCCTGCAGAGTAAATGTTACTCCACGAGTGGTACTGTCTTTGGAAAGAGACAAAAGTTTTACTTGGGTGTGTTAGGCAATATGGATTGTTTTTCATACTGGCTTTTAAGTTCTATGTAATAAAGAAAAGATAATTGTGACACTTGGCAAAGGAAGAGTTGGAACAGGTGATTGAATTAATTCAGTTTGAACCATGACCTTCAGGAAGGTATGTCAGTAACAGCAATTAAATAGGTTTCCTTGGGCATGTTAAGTAGTTGAGAAGTTGTTTTCACAGATCAGGAGATATTATCACTGAATCTGTGATTGAATAAGATTGCTTAGTGATAAATGTAAAGAAATTATTTGAAACACCACAGGAACAAATTTCTGAAGAATGCAAGGAGTGAAGAATCTGCCTTGGAAGAAAGGAAATCATCTTACGTATGGGAACTATTTTTCAGTTCCAGTTTAATTTTATTTTCTGGTTTTTTTTTTGTTTTTTTTTTTCATAAGGAAAGTTTTCATTGGCCAAAATGGCCAAAACATCCAAGATTTATGTTTTTTTAAATTTCATGTACTGTATAATGCAGCATTTTTATGAAAATATCTGTTGATAATCCGTATCCTTGGAATGTATATTATTATAGCACTGTATAAAACTGTTTAGAATACTATTTCAAATTACAAATTCCATTATTCTTCTATATTTAGAAAAATCATAGTTCTAATTGGACTTCTGCAATGAGTGCTTATCTCTGTGTTTCTCTTTAAAAAGATTTCTGAATTGCAAGCTTTGGGAGGAAATGAATTTTTTATAAAGTTTTGTTTAATATTTCTATTAGTGATCTGGATGAGAGGATAGAGTGTTCCCTCAGTAAGTTTGCAGATAACACCAAGTTGGGTGGGAGCATTGGTCTGCTTTGAGAGTAGGAAGGCTCAGCAGAGGGATCTCGATACGCTGAATCAATGAGCCAACTTAACTGTTATTGCATTCAGTAAGGCTAAGCACTGGGTCATGTGCTTGGATCATAACAACCGCATGCAACACTACAGACTTGGGGAAGAGAGTCTAGCGAGTTGCACAGCAGAGAAGTACGCAAGGGTGCTGGCCATTAATTGACTAAACATGAGCCAGCAGCATGCCCAGGTGGTCGAGAAAGCCAGCATCATCCTGGCATCAACACATAAATGATGTGGCCAGCAGGATTAGGGAAGGAATTTTCCAGCTGTTCTCCAACTCAGGATCTTCTATGATTCTATCCTTTGTTTAATCCATGAGTTCCTTTAGGACTAGGGTGAATGCTATTGAACCTGTTGATTTGGTACTGTTATTTAGTCACACTTTGCTTCTGAAATGATTTCAAATTCAGATCTGTACATCCTTTATGCTACAATGAATGCTGGAGGAATTTTTCTTGTCTCTTTTACACAAAGCCCTAATGGAAAGTGTTATTTTATCTTTCTTTCCTCAGAGTATGCCTTTTATATCTTGATCACAAACCAGCCCTGTGATTTCTTAGGCGGACTTCCTGCTCCTAGTAGATTTGAAGATTTATTATTAATTGTGATTATTTTTGGTAGCTGTTGAATTTCTCCCTTCTGGTACTGCATGATTCTGTTTTTCCCTTCATTTGTTTATGTTCCTGACTTTGTTTGAAGATGATGTCCACCACTCTTTTCATCTAATAACCTTTCAGCCTCCTGCTTAGCCATGTTGTTCCCCTTTTTGCTTAGTTAAGCCATTCTAATAAGTACCATTCAGTAGCTCTGTGCTTCTAGTGTAGTAGCCTTAAGAACTCCTCATGCTGCCTATGAAATTTTAATCTTCTAAGCTGTGCCCCTTAATTCTACCTTTCAGCAAGCTTCCTAAGTTTTGTACACTTTTCTTTTAGAGATCACCACAGCACAGATGTTGAATAGTAAGTGCATAGCAGTTGCCATTACAGAGTAGTTTTTCAACTGTGAAAGTTTTCACTGTATCCTGCATGCTAATAAACAGTAGGGCAAGTATTTAGTCTAGTCTTGTGAGGCTCCATGAAGCAGTAACTGATAGAGACCCGCTTTTTGTTATTGTGCTATGTGCTATGTGAGTACCTGATCTGAAACTAAGCAAAGTCTGTTATCAGTGTTATATTTCATATTCCTATTGCCTGTCTTCATGTTGCAGTCATTGTTATCCTAGTTACTAATGCAAACTCTTAAATCCATGCAAAAAGTTTTACTTCTTGAGGTAGTTGGCTTACTAGTTTTGAGCCCTAAGTTCACTTTAGCACATAGAATTCACTGTCCTGCTTATCTAGCCTATTTTATCTTCTTGTATACTTTACATCCTGTTATAGTAGTGTTTTTGACTTTTTCCCCCCCTACATCTCCAGAGTGTTTATACCTCCCTTTAGTTCAGATTTGGTATAATTTTGATTTACTTCCTAGCATTCTGTTTTACATTTCCTGTAATATCACTGTAACTATCCTTAATTTCTGGATATAGAATTCTTCTGTTTATATCCGTAACGGATGCACTAACTTCTCTCTTTTCTAACTAAACTTTTCTAACACTACAGTTTTGAACTTTAGTTACAGCATTTCAGTATTTTAAGCACAAACAGTTTTGGTTCTTTTACAGTTCAGATGAATTTGGTGCCTCGTGTATGGTCTCCCCTTATTTCAAAAATTCTCAAGTTTCTGATGAACTTGAATCTATACTCCTGGACCCATTTCGTTAGGTAGTCATTGATACCTTATCTCCCCAGCTCTGCAGGGAGTACTAGGAGAATTTTGGAGGACCCTAGTGTAGAATTACATGGCTCTGGCTTCCTTACTGCTTTGTTTTTATCCCTAAAAGGCTTATTTCCATTACAACTGCTTGACATCTCTTCTTTGATATGGTCTTTTTCACTGTAAGGAAATATCTTTACATTAGTTTTACCTTCCTAAAATGAAACTGAAATTATGCATCATGTTCCCTTTTTCTCTGAGTTAAAATAAATCTAATTCTGGCAAGGTGGGTGTTAGGAAAAACAAACAAACAAAAAATTACTTGTGGCCTTCAGCTAATTAATTTTTGTCTGACTTTGTGAAAACATAAAATACCTAAACAAGATACGTACACATAAAAGTGATATCATATATTAACTCTGGTATAAAGAATAGCAAAACAAAATCATAGAATCATAGAATTACAGGGTTGGAAATGACCTGCAAGATCATTCCCCTTACCCTTGCTACCACGGGCTACTAAACCATATCTCGTAGCTCCTCATCTAGGCGCCTCTTGAACACTGCCAGGGACGGTGACTCCACCACCTCCCTGGGCAGCCATTCCAGTGCCTGACCACTCTCTGAGAGAAATAGTTTTTCCTTATGTCTAACCTAAATCTCCTCTGGTACAACTTGCAACCATTTCCTCCGGACCTGTTTGTTGGCTGGGAGAAGAGGCCAAACCCCTCCTCATCATAGCCTCCCTTCAGAAAGTTGTAGAGTACCATGAGGTCTCCCCTGAGCCTCCTCTTCTGCAGACTAAACAATTCCAGCTACTCCTCATAAGACTTGTGCTCCAGGCTCCTCACCAGTTTCATTGCCCTTCTCTGGACACATTCCAGGGTCTTGGTGTCTTTCTTGTAGTGAAGGGCCCAAAACAACACAGTACTCGAGGTATGGCCTCACCAGTGCTGAGTACAGGGGGATGATCACCTCCCTGCTCCTGCTGACCACGCAATTGTACACATTCAGGAACTGCCATCCCAGTTCTTGAAAGGTGTCATTATATGCACTGTTGTTCAGTGTGTTGCAAAAAAGTTCTTTTAGCTCTGTAATTATTATCAGTGAATGAACTGATATTGTGTTGTCAGTCACCATGATTTGCACATTAACGAAACATCAAATTCAGTGTACTATTAAACGTATGATAGATTGCTACAGAAAGATATCAATAAACGTTTATCTTTATGCACTTAAACATGAAATGCAAGAAAATAATGCAGACAATCACAAAAAGTCTTTTAGCATATGCTGCAAAAATAGCATGTGACTGAAGATTATAATTAGAAGACATCAGTATTTGTGATGGAAATATGAGAATAAATATCATGTGCAAGCCTGACAGTAGCTAAAGAAGATAAATTAGCTATGAAAACATGCATCTCAAATCTCTTCATAGTTTTCTTATGAAAACATTTGTTGAAATAAAGCAAAAGTAAGTGAAAATTTCTTTTGAGGAAGAATATCACATCAGTGGTAGAAAAATATATTAAAAGTCTGCATGTAGAGTTCATCGAACAGCTATGCTCTCTGTATTAAGGAATTAAATAAATGCCTATAAATCAGTGTTGAATGGTACTTCAGAACAGAACTTGATCATATCATTTCCAGGGTACCACTGAAAATTATTTATTTATTTATTTGTTTGTTTATTTATTTAAGTGGAAAGCACTTTAAAGCATCTTCTGTGCCTATTCAGATATTGTGTTTTCACCTAAATTTATTTTTTTCTGCAATTTTTTAAAGCACAGAACTGTTACACTTCATAGACAACCAGTTGGTGGCTTGGGCTTAAGCATAAAGGTATGAAAAGAGTCTTCTTTCTTCTCTTATTTTTTAGTTTGACTAGTTTGCTTCAGCCTTGATTGTGGTCTCATGACTAATATGCATCTTTTACAGGGTGGTGCTGAGCACAAAGTGCCTGTCGTCATATCAAAAATGTTTAAAGACCAAGCAGGTAAAATATATATTTCTGTTACTTACATGTATAGTACTGTATACATGATTTCTTTTTAATATCAAATGTTCTATGTACTCAAAATTAAAACATATTTATGACTCATTCCAGCATCAGTGTCTTTAAGCCTTTCTTTAAATGTCCAACTTATCTTTTGTATTGAATTTAAAATCTGTAATCTGTCCATGTCTTCAGGAACTAAGCTTGAAATTGTCCTGGTAACAGCTCCCCAAAACATACATTTTACTGCAGTGAGACAGTTGTGTAGTAGACAAAGCATTTAACATTATTTGTGAAAACAAAATTATGGCTTAGGAAATGTATCAATACACTTAAGCTTAATAACCCAGAGGATAAAATAAATAAACTGAACATATTTTTTCCCTACACGGTAATTCATTGTTATATAGTATGAATGACTTTCCCTAGTTGCAAACAGAAGGTGATTTGTAATGATAATTATGAGCTGAGGGGAGCCGTCATGGCAGCTGCAGCTCCTCTCAGGGAGCAGAGGGCAGCACTGAGCTCTGCTCTCTGGGGAAAGGGACAGGGCCTGAAGGAATGGCATGCAGCTGTGTCCCAGGAGTTGGGTTGGGCCAAGTGTTAGCAAAAGGTTCTACATCACTGGGTGGTTGGAACAGGCTCCCCAGGGCTGTGGTCATAGCACTGAGCTTGCTGGATTTCAAGGAGTGTTTTGACAACATAGGGCTTGGATTTTTGTTGGTCCTGGAACCAGGAGTTGGACTCAGTGATCCTGTGGGTCCCACAAATGTTCTGTGATCATGGTCATTAGACAATTATATGATTCTAATGCTTTAGTTTTGCAGGAAACAATCTGATAATATTATTTAATGCATTATTATTATTATTATATTTATATATTATTATTATTATATATAATATATATTATATAATATGCAATATATAATATTAATAATATCATATTATATATATAATATAATATTAATACATTAATATAATATATTATTATATTATTATATATATTTATATATTATATATTATTATTATATATTATATATTATTATTATTATTATTATTATTATTATTCTATGCGTTTGTGCACTATTTCTCATATATTTACATATATGCATATTTAAATATAAGTATTTATATGAAGAGATATAGGGAAAAATATCCATGTTGGATATAAAGAGAGGAAATGTTAAGTGTGAGAGAGACAATTTTATCTCAAACTGCATTTTGGACTGAAAATCTGTATGTTTATACTGGGAATAAATTAATAATGGATTTTCACTGTATGAGGTACTAATAGTGGTAAAACTGATAAGGTAGCTTCACAGGTGACTTTAAGATTTGAAAATAGAATTGTACTATGAGACATTTTACTAATTTAGCTAAACTTATGTGAGTAAAATTCTTCCTACTGAAAAAATTTTTGATTTCCTAAAATATCTGACAACTTGCTACCTTTTGTGAAATTTAATAACCGTTGTATGGCAGCACTGCAAAGTCATGTTTCCAACTATATTTTGGTTACAGTGCTATTTTATAGTTCCAAAAGTGGGAAGTTTAATAGGATAAAGAAGTTGTTTCTTGTTTTATACTTGTACAACTTTTATATTATCTGAAGTATTTAGAAATATTTATGTCCTCCTTAAATTTCCCAAATTCTGTAACATTGGTGGTATTAAATACTTCACTTACAGTTTTAACTTGCTTAGAGACTCAGCTGTGATCGCAGTGTTTATAACAGAATCGCAGAATTGTAAAGGTTGGAAGGGACCTCTAGAGATCGTCTAGTCCAACCCCATTGCCAAAGTAGGCTCCCATGTCCAAATGAATGTCATGGATCACCTATTTGATTTGACTTTCTTTCATTATGACTTTCATTATGACAAGTTCTGTAAGATCAAAACTTGCGCAGAAACTCAATTCAAGAGGTTAGCTTTATATTTCTGAAGGATAAGGTTAAGTAGTCCTTCACTACTGGAGACTAATGTCCCAGTGTATTGATAACCACAATAAAGACTGTCCTGAATTTTCTCTATGTTTCTCCACGGGATTGAGGAAAAGTGAGTTGTGCTGATGCTGCTGACTCATCCCTGAATTTAGGCACTTCACATTCCTCTGTGGATTCTGTCTTCCATTCTAACAAAAGTTATGTCTTTTTCATACTGACAAAGCTTTTGTTAAAGTTAATTTTAGAGGGACAGAAGTAAATGCATACATGTTTATTAATTCTAAATTAAAATGATATAATTAGTCTCAGAGTCATTTTAATTCCATTAAAAAATCACTTAAAGGTAGGATTTTTTTCCCTCTTGCTCATGTGTCCCGTTGTCCTGCTGACTCAGAATATTAGCTACATTACTAACAATCCCCCAGCTTTTCTTTTTTTCTTTTTTTTTTGAGAAGATAATATTGATGTTGAAGCTTCTTAGTAAGATTTTCCAAAACTGAATCATTCTTTCTCTAATTGTTTTCTCAGATGAAATTTAACAGAATTGATTTTCCTTGTTGAATCTAAGATAGAGTCAATTATTAGATAATAATGTTGGTGTTTTGTTAATAGCTTCTAGATATACATTATTTCAATAAGTGTGTTATAATCAGTATTAACAGTTTATTTATGGTAAAGTGTGCATGAATTTTACAGTCAAAAAAGTATAGAGTACTATTCTCAGAGAAGCATAAGTGAATATCTTGAACTTGGAAAGGAAACGGATTGTTCAGGCTTACTTGATATATAGTGAACCTGTAAAAAAATTTGTCAGATATGTGAAATATACTTTAAAGAATTCTTATATAACATATAGGAGAAAATTTTACAAGCTTTCCTATGTTTAAAATTTCTGTCTGGTATTTGTTATTCCAATCCATAATTACTAAGTAAATCTTTATGAACTTGCCAAAGGGTAGAGGCTGTAAATATTAACAGACTGAAATATAATTTATTCATAAATGCAAGTGACTTTAGTTGCATACAGTACAGGATATTTTAACTGTTAAAGCAATATATTATTGTGGTCAAGCAGTTTAAGTTCTGTTTTATGTTACAGAGTTATCAAGTTAGCAGTCACTTTTGATTACCTTGATACAAATTTCCATCTTTGTGAGTGCTGCTGTAATTATCTGTCTGCTGCTTGTGAGCTCTGCCTGCATCTCATAAAGCATGTGAAGTGAGACAAGCATCAATGAAGAAACAGAACAGTGGGTGCAGCTCATTGAGGCGTGATTAAAATAGATAAATAAAATTGAATAAAGCCTGGCAGAATAAGGATAGTTTGCATTTTGCCAGTTTCACAAAGGATCTTCTCTTGAGAGCCAAATTGGTTCTCAAACTACTTTGAAAGCATTTTCCCACCTTCTGTGATAAAAGGTGACAATGTGTAATGTGTTTAGTCCATTTCTGAGGGGAGTTTACATATACCCTGACAGGATTAGAACAAACTCAGGACATTCAGCCACTGAAACATTCTTGGCTTGAAACCCTGCACTCTCCAAACACAGTCTGCATCCAGCTATTACATCCTGGCTGCCTGCACTCAGGACCATCTGCTTGGAGGACACAGTGTCAGTTTGATGAGGGCTTATAGCAGTTTCGCTTACACATACATGCCAAGCAAAGATGGTTTGATATGCAAGCATATGTGATGTTGCTCACGTGAGTATTTTTTCTGTGCTTACTCCAGTTGTCCACAAAGCTGTTACAGCTAGAGTAACCAATAAATCATCCATTGGGCATGGCTTGAGATTACAAACAAGCTGCACAGCATATAGTAGTGACATTCATAGATTATTCTTTATTGCTGCAGATCTACTTAGCCTGGATTCAGTAGCCTTATAGTTTCAATTTAATAAGGTCAAGATTAAGAAAGATTTAAGCCCAGGTGAAGGGCTTTGTAAGGAAGCCAGAATGTATCAAAAACGTGCTATGCCTTACTCTCATGAAAGTGAATGCTAAATACAAGGCCATAAGGAAGAACATACTTGAGGTGCAATTATATAAACAGGCATCATCATATATTTAGTGGGATGCATATAGATATTTAAGTTATTGAGCTGAACAGCTTATACTATTGGTGTTTGTTGATTTGAGGCATGAGTGACCTAAGTCCTTAGACCAAAGTCTAAGGAGTGCTTTGGTTAAAAGGATGCAGTGGTTAACTTTTATGTGTTTATTTAACTGAGCAGGTATGTCATTAAAATCTGATTTGGGAAATATTTTTAGAACAGTAACATTTTCTTTTCAGTTACCAGAAATTCATTCCCTTTACCAGACAAGAAAAATAGAAAGAAAAATTTTTTTAAAATTTATTTTGTTGTAGAATATGTGCTGTTTTTCTTTTATAGATTTAGAAATTGATTAGTCCAAGAAATTTTTATAGAGAAAGCCAAAGCACTCTCACTTTAGGTTAATTTGAATCTTGTTTTCATTCCTTTGGCTTGGCTAAACTGTAGCTTGGAATTTTAGTTCAGTTCTTCAGTTTTTTGTGATGAGTATTCTCTTTGGAAGGCGCATTTCACAGTTTCTCAACCGAAAAGGTTGATAACATCTGAAAACTTTGTAATTTCAGTGAAACTCCAATATTATAGTTATTATTTATGTATTCTAAACTTGAAACTAGGAACTAGGAAAAGGTATGAAAAAAAGTGTTATTTCTTCAATTATCATCTGCTCCATTTAGCAGCTGAGTGGAAAAAAAAAAAAAAAAAAAAAAAAAAAGACCTTAGAATTTCATTTACACTTACAGTTTGTATTCTCTCTTCTGTTTCCCTTCTTCTGATGAATTGCAGAAGTATAATGAAATAAATTTAGCATTACTTTTTGATTTTATTACCACTACAGTCCATACTGAAAATAAATGTGCATGATAGGTTTTTCCTCATGGTGAAATTAGAGAACTATGTCATGAATGTTCACTCAGATAAATTGTTCTTCCAAGATGGATGGTATTTTGGACCCTTGATTTGGAGTTTTCTTTTATCGTGGTGTTTTAGTATAGAAACTGGAGAAG